GGGTGGGGGGGGGTTCTCCGCGCTATTTATACTTCCGCCATTGACGCATCTCAGCGCCATTGCGTGATCCAAATATTCATCGTACGCGTACATATATACAGACACACACGTGTCGAAAAGTCACGCACGACGAGAGGCTGAGCCTCGTCATCCTTTCCCGCTCTGTTCCTTTTTTTCTTTTCCTCAATCGTCCCATGTACCTGCCGTCACGGCGACGTCACGGCCGGCAACCTACTTCGGATGCGCTTATGCAACGCACGTGGACGCGACAATTTTCATCGTTTCGTCGATCGAACGGAAAATATTTAAAGCATAGGGCACCGTGCCAACGCGCGCTCTAAATATAGATCCTTTTTCAGAAGCAGCGCGAGTCGCGATGGGCGGCCCGTCTGCCGCGGGCCGCGCTGTTATTAACTTTGAAAAAAAATTCAAGAGCCTCTCGAGGAACGTGGATACGTCGGACGCCGTCGACACGACGTTTGGACGTTTAACGATTATCTATCGAGCGCAACGTGCGCTTCGGACATTTTTATTCGACTTCCTCGTCCTTAATCGACGGCGATTACTCGAGGGGCGTGCTTGGAAATGTTGCTCCGAAGCAGGCGAGTATTTGAGTTATTTGCGCACCTTTATTTACGGGATTCTTGCCGATTTCAAATATGGTATTAAATAATTCCACAGAGAACGCGAAGAAAGGATACCGTCGTGCGAGCGAATGCATAGCATCTGCCATTGCATCGATGAAATCCATGCATGTCTCTTAAGCTTATCATACAAGTTATTCTCCTTATCATATCTGCACTGAGGTGCCGGCGTTAAGCATCTCGGCTTAGATTTCTCGAATCGTGCCTGATAACTTTTACAATTGCGAATAATAATCCTCGAGGCGTCCGCATTACGGGATTACGTCGGTGCAGTATTTACGGCGATAACGATGCACGCTATCAAAACGGTCAGCAAACTATATTAATTAAACAAAAATTTTATCATCCTGACACACATATCTCCCACTTTCATTCAGACACAGATATTGCCTTTCCCCTAAGTCGAAACACATAATATCTAACATGTGTAGGAAAACGTTTCCCACTTGTGAACTTTTACATCTTTAAGTTTTTTTGGACGCACTCGCGAAAATTGTTCATGTACACTAACGTCACAGACGCCTAAATATCGATGGACATTATGCAATATACGGAGCGATAAGTGGATATCTTCAAAATATGAAAAAAAATGAGAAGAATTTATTCAACAGAAATTTGTAGTTTGAAGACTCGGAAAAAATCCAGGTTTTTCTCCAATTTTTCGCGGATTTTTTTGGTTTCTTTACCAAAAGGGTAGAGAAATTTATTTAGAAAAGTTCACGTGTGTTCAGTTAAAACCTGCCACATTTACTTCTTTTTTTCGGCGAAGAAGATAATTGCGCGCACTTAATTGAGGTTAAATGATGTTAATATGTTATGTGTTAAGCGGTAATATATTACCTTCGAAGAATTACAAAGAATTATAACCGAATACATTGTGAACAGATATGTAATATATGAGGGAGAAATATATAATATAATATTATCAGTGCGAACAATTTTTTAAATAAATAATTAACTACTGGGTGACTCATATAAAGTATTATAGATTCATGTTTCAAAAGAAATGCATTATCCGAAAAAGTTTCGAACAAAAGTTGTAAAATTTTGTGGGAGTATAAAATATGATAATATTATTATACTACTAAACTACCTTTTTAAACATTATTTCAAGGTCAATTTTAATTTTTCTAAGGGAATCATATGGTTTTTTTTTATATAAATTAATTCCTCTGATTATTTTACGTATAAAAATACCGGAGTAAAATCGCCGAAAAGTAAATATTTTCCAAGATATCTTAAATTTTACCTTGACCTTTTGTTTCTTTCCAGCGATTAAAAAAGAACCTGTTTTTCAAATCGCACAGAAATAGCATCGACACCATTGATCATCGCCGCTTCGCTTCGAACACGCTTCTGTAAATTTCCCCTTCTCGCTCAGTTATTAAAACATTCCTATTCCTCGCGGATATTCAAGGTGATAAGAGTCATTGCCCCACCTTGTACAATACAAACCTCTCTTTCGAGAAACGGAGGGTAAATCGAATACAAGAGCAGCTTAGTCGACGGCAAGAGCCGTGGCCTTGATCTTTTTCCGAACGGGCTTTCTACGAGACGACGAATAGATCTTGAACGAGCGCGAGAGAAGTGAAGGTGAATCCTCCGTTTCATCACACACGACGGTGTGTGTACAGTCGCGATCGCAGACACCGGGTGCGTCGTATTCGGCTGGCTCCTCCGCCAGGCAGGCTGAAAATGAAAATCGCGACGCATTTCGGAACAATACTCCCCGAGGCCGCGAGATAACGGTTGGGAAGCTCCAAATAAATTTGCGTAATGCGCAACTACACCGTATGACCGGCGAGTTATCATCAAGCCGGTTGTTGATCCATCGCGCAGCAGCGCGCGTGCACTTCGGCCCGGTGATTCCATCGCGCGCGCGAGACAAGAGAACCAGGAAATCGCGCGCGGCAGACATCGGTGCGCCTCGACGAGTTTCCCTGATATCGGATTCCACGAGAGAGCAAACTGAGTAAATAACGCGTCATTCCGCCTGTCGTGTCTGAAATATATGCGCGTTCTCCTGAGAGAACGAGGACCTTCCGCGCGTCGGAGTGATCGATCGAAGGAAAGAATGATTTTTCTCGATTTTATCGAGAACTTTTGCGAGATATAGTTGGCGTGATTTGTGTGTACACGAGATAACCCCCGTTTATCTCGGTCTTCCGCTATCGACAGGCTGCCGTGGAAACGCACGATTGTCCCAGAAACGTTTTTCGTTAAACGAACGAATTTGAAGGGATCGTCCTGTCTTACCGAAGCATATTTGCTAGTATTATACTCGTTGCTGGCTGCACGAGATGAAAAATTATTTCGCACAATTAGAATACGTACGTTAATGTAAGCGGCAACGGTCGATTTTATTTGACAAACGGAAACAAGTTTTATGTATCGTTAACTTTTTTAGTGCGGCGCTAACAGATTTGCGGTAAAATAGGACGATTCTAGGATCTCTTTAAAGTGTCACAGGACCCTGACAGGAATAAAAATTAGATAAAATTTGAAGAGTTGTAAAAAGTTAAGGTTATATTTGTCGATTCACGAAGCGGATTTTGAAAGGAACAATATTTCCCAAAATAAGAGTTATAAACAATCAAATTAATCTATTCAATGAAAAACTCGAGCTTGTGAAATAAATAAATAATGGTTTTGAAATTTGCGGAAGGTGAACCGATAACTACAACATTAATGGAAAAAAAAAATACATTGATACTGATATAAGATCACTCACTCCTCTGCTGACGTCAGAATGCTTATTGTTGATGCATGATTTTTTTGTATAACAGAATTGAAATGGACACAGCGATGTTGTATTCGCCATAAAATTTTATTTTACTATTTTTTTTTATACCAAGATATTGCTAAATACACTTAATAGATATACATAACAAAAAGTGAATACTCCTGTTAATTTGTAGCTTTTTACAACCCCCGAAATTTTATCTAATTTTTACCTTTGTCAAAATCCTGTGACCCCTTAGGGGAAAAAATTGGGAAGCGGACTGATAAGGGAGGAGTACGGAAGAAGGAGAAGAAATCTGTCTTTAAACCACGTTTCGCGTAGCGCTAATTCTTTCCGGTTATTGAAATGCCGTGTGTAGTACGGCAGCCGGTGCATCGAAATTCAAGCGCTAAGCTATTTCAACAAGAAAAAACGTCATTCTTTTTCCCCACACAAGCTCCACTTTACTCTCATTGGTCGCAAAGGGGAATTTAGCGAAACCGAAGCCGCGTGAGAATTGATTTGATTAGCGTAAAAATTTACACGCGGAACAGTACACATTAACATGATAATACAACGCGGTTACCGGGAGACACGCTTGCAAATTGCTTTGTGCATACATACGACGTTCAACAAGCTGAATTTTAATTCGACAATACCGATAAAGTCGAATGTTTTTTGCGGTCATAATATGAAAAAAATAAATAAAAAAGAGAGAAATCTCTCTCTCTCTCTCTTTCTCTTTTGTATTTAATAGTTCCCTATCATAGATACTTAACGACTTCGCGAACGCTATAACTACAATACCGTGAAATTGAAGTGAGTGTTTCTCCGAGAGGAGATTCATTTCTCTCGGGACACCTGTTGGATATTGCTGTCGACCTCGTGCTGATCCACATTTCATATATATACAAGGTAAAAGGATCGGATAGCCAGAAACATGGAAAGTAATTGCTCGTGACATGCACTCGCAAGTGCTCGTGTCAAAATTCGTTCGCCTGACGAGTCCTTCCGGTGGCAAAATATTTCTGTGCGTAGAGATATATTCTAATCGCAAGTAACGGATAAAGTTAGATGACGTGTACATTTAGGAAGGACGCGATAAGTAATGATTCAAATACATTCAATAATATGTTTCAATAACATGATTCAATAACATGTTATCAATTGGTAACTTAAATAATACACAGAAAAATACGTACTGCATTTAAGAAAATGTTGCTTGCTTT